ACCTAATACGCCTCCCAACTTCCTTGTTGGCTTCTGGGTTTGTTTTCCTGAGCTCTAGCTTTAGCAGCTCTAGTTTTACTATTTAAATATGCCTGGCAATGAATTTTTGCAATGTAATGTCTGTGTCCGCATTGTTTAAACAGACATTTTTGATTATCGAACTAGGCAAGACATTACATCGATCAATTGGATTAGTGCTTGCATAACTGGATATTGCCTTTTTCTGTAACCATGCTACGCTGACGCTTTAAGGGAGATAAGTTTTGATTGTCTTTCTGCTTATTCGATGTGTTGTTTAATCACTGCTGCAGTTTTCATGTTTGTGTTTATGTGAAGGAAGGTATGTTTCACTTCTTGTGTTGATTCCTTGATCAGCCAAATGCTTTGTATGATTTACCTTGTTTTCCAGGTAGACCCAGCCTTGAGTGGATACCAGATGCAGTCCTGGGAAGTAAAGGTGGTCGGTGTGATGCTGACTAAACACCAATCTTGTGCCGATTGGTCTGAAAAAAAAGGTCTAGTCCTATATGCCTAAAAGCATTGAGAATGGTCCTTTACTTTTATGTATGATTTCCTTCTGAACCAGGTTTTCCACCCTTTCCCCCCAGATATTGTATTCGCAAAAAGGTGAAAGGGTTCAAGGAGACTAATTCTAGTTTAAGATCATAATAATAACAATAATAATCAGGGCTCTCTCGTAATGCAGTGGAGACCGTGTCATTGTGGAGGGCCTGGAAATGAGAAAGCTGATAAACTGGCAGGAGAAGGTGCGACAAAAGAGCAGCCGGATGCACCAGTCACATACCACCAAAAGAAAAGAATCATTAAACCAATCAGGAAACCACCAGCCCCAGCACAAGACGACTATTTTATTATTGACAGATCAGTACACGTCATTATCCTCCGCCTCAGAACAGGGCACAGCCGATTATTTAACCACATGTACACAAAATTGAAGATAGGTGTATCAGCCATGTGCACCTGTTGAAATGTGCCCCAGACAGCAGAGCATGTGCTCCAGGACTGAACCGAATTTGACACATTAAGGCAAACCTTTTGGCCAGAAAGAACAACAGTGGAACGTAAACTCTATGGACCACTGAACGAACTAACAACGACAGTGAAATTTATACAAGAGACAAAACTGCTGATATAGACAACTTATTTCAGCAAAACGAAAGAAGAAGAAGAAGGGCTCTCTCTAGCGGCACGCAACAGTTTGTTTGTCGTTAAGGAACCTTTTCTCTAGAAAACAGAAAGCTCTGATAATAATAATGATCAAGAGAAAGTTTACAATCGAGTTAATAGGAATAAATTATAAAAAGTACTACATGATTACGGAGTAAACAAACATCTTATTAAATTGTGCTAGAGTTTGTAGGTGAACAACAAATGAGTAGTTGAAACAAATGCAGGAAAGTCAAAAAGGTTCTACATAAAATCTGGTCCGTTCTATCACCACTACTCTTCATCACATACGTCGACCAAACTGGCAAATCAGCCAACATCAGCGAAGGGGAACAACATCGGAGAATTACTAAGTGAATTGCCCTTAGCCGATGACCAGGCAATCAAAGCACCAACAGCAGTACAGCTACAAGAACATAGTAACAGACTCAACAAGGAATGCGACAACTATGATATAAAGATCAGCGTAGACAAAATAGAAGTGATGACATTCTCCAGAAAAGGAAGAACCATCAAATATCCAAACTGTTGAAAACCGGTCAAAGCAGGCGAAGGATTATACAGATGTGGGAAGCATTTTTTCAGAAGACGAAGAATGAATAAAGAAATCCAATAAAGATGGAACAAAGCCAATGAAGTTTTAGGCCAAATAACAAACATTTGAAATACAAGCATGTGAAAATGAACACTAAAAAAACAATGTTTAAAACAATATTCTCACTAACACTCTGCTATCAATGTCAAACATGGACACAGTCTTCAGAATACAGAAGGAAAATAGTCACGAAAGAAATACAATTTTAACGTACTATGTTAGGTGTAACGAGGAAAGATCGACTTAGGAACGATGATATCAGGAGGAGAATCGGCACAGAACCAATACTGAACTTTATAGGTAGACAACAAATCTAATGATTTGGCCATGTAACAAGATTGGCAGGAGACAGGGCCCCACAGAGAGCAATAATATACAGATACGATGGTAAAAGACCCAGAGGTCGACCACGCAGAAAACGGAACGCAGAAATATCAGAGACACTGAAAAGGAAGCGAACAGAATGGTCCTTTCTAGAGATCTCTTCGTCCCCTGACCCACCGAGGTATTCCAGGAGTGGAGAAAAGAAGAAATAATAATGATAATTAATATTAATAATATTAATATGTTGGTTATTCACCTGTCAGGCAGATGCACTCCGACTTTAAAGGAAATACGCTTAATTAATCGTTTTTTACGACATACTTGTTACGTAATGAGTGCATTTCTGTCTTTCAAAATGGGGCCCGGTACAAACACGAGGAACAGCAGGCAGATTACAGTCAAAATTATGAAAGCATCCGCCTTTCCTGTAGCAACATACTGCTATAAGACGTGGACTATATCACAGTCTTTAAGGACAAAAGTAAAGTAAGAGACCCTTTTTCACGCCTTTAGGCGTATAGAGCATATAGGGCAAGACCTACTCAAGGCTGCTTCGACCTGGGAGCCAAGGTAATTTGTGAAACAAAGTCCTGCTCACTCACATTTCAGTTGCCTCCAAACTCTTCCTAATTTGTTTGCTCGCATTCCAAGATTCACAGAAATACAAAAGAACAAGCCCATGGTCAATATACAAACGTTGAGACTCTATCGTCTGAGGCTGGTTTTCTATCAATCTCCTCTCTATAGAATGCAGCGTTTGACCTCTTTCAAACTGCGCAGTCCGTCTTCTACTGTCTGTGTCCACAGGAGTCAGTCTGAAGCCGATCTGTCCCAAGTGTTTGAATCAATGCTGATATCTTTCATGTCGCGTCTGCATGTGTCCTCATAGCGTAGCTTAGGACTTTCTGCAGGTCTGATCCCTGTTACCAGTGCACTATTCAGGAGATCCTTTCGGATGCGACCATCCTTCACGGAAGAGACATGCCTGAACCAAAGCAGGCGTCTTTACTACAGTAGAAAGGACACTGTTGATATTGCTGCTCTTTTGACTACACATTCATTGGCGACAAAGTCTCGAGACGATACACCAAGAATACAACGCATGTGGAAAGTGTTCAATATTTGTTCTTGAGGAGCTTACAAAGTTTAGGGTTCACTGTCGTAATGAAGCGTGCTCAGGGCGCAATACTAATGAACTTTAAAGTTGTTCCGTCCGTAAGTGTCCTTTGTTTGTTTGACCACTCTCCTGCTGCGAGTCTGAAAAGCATTGCGGAAGACTTTCCTATTCGTCTGTTTAGCTCTGCATCTAGGGAAAGATTGTCTGCAATTCAAGAGCCTACTTGTTCAAACTGATGTGATACCACGGATAATGTTTGGTGGTTTTTACCACATTCATACCCATCACTTGCGTCCTGTGAGACTGATAGTCAGTCCAAATTCCTTGCATGCATAGGGACTCTTTGAGTCCCAAGGAACGCATCATACGTTCTTAGATTCCTACCTAGAAGCCCAGTGAACGCATGATGCGCCAGTTTTATTGCTTTCTCTACTACCCCATGGGCCTGTGATGCTAAACCCCCTGGGACTCAAAGAGCGATTCAAGAGAAGCTGCAGCAATGATGTATGTGCAGCAATGATTGTATTATCCGCAAATAGAAAGTTCTGCATTTTAGTCCTTGCATGAAACAAGAACAGATTAAACAAATTGTCATCTGACCTTAATGTCAATAAGAAAAAAGAAGACAGATCTAAACATAGCAATAGAATACAAAGGCATTAAACAGGCATCTGAGTTTAAATATCTGGGAACTACATTTACTGAAGATGGGAAATTGGATAAAGAAATTAACATTAGATGCAGTAAAGCAAACCAAGTATTGGTACAGCTAGCTCCCCTCTTACAGCATAAGACAATCCCAATCAGCCAAAGAGATATCTTATTCAAAGCATATTTATTGCAACTCTGTGCTACCAGTGCCAGACATGGTCACTCACAACAAACCACAAAAGAAAATTAGTAACCATTGCAATGAGATGTCTGAGAAGGGCTGTAGGAGTGACCATAAGAAATAAGATCAGGAATGAGATCATAAGAGAAAAAGTCGACACAGAAACAATTCTAAATTACATACAAAGACAGCAAGTAAAATGGTTTGCCCACTTAGAGAGAATGCCTTGTGACACCATACCATACAAAGCATACATGGAAAGAGAAGAAGGACGTAGATCACAGGGTAGACGAAGAACAATATGGAAGGATCACATCAGAGAAACTCTACAACAGCACGATGTGCCTATGGTCGAGGCGGTCAGAAGAGCTAGAAACAGAACCTTATATCTCCCTCGACACCCACAGCGGTAAAAGAGGAAGTGAAGAAGAAGAGGAAGTCATCTGACCTTGTAAGGAGATTGATCCCATCAGTAGTTGCCCCGAAGCCGCCGAAGCAATGCAGTCAAGAATATTACAAACAGTGTGGGAGCTAGAACGCAACATGATTTCACCCATTTATGGAAAGATATAAAACTGAACGAAAAGTAGGTCAGCGAGCTTTACAATATAACAGACACAAACGAAACGTGAACGTTGCGACTATAGAGCCTTCATCAGCACATACACCAATCACTATTCATATTAGGAATCAGAAAGGGTGACAACGAATCTTAAAATATAACGGGTTCTTTCATATTACCATGGACAAATTTAATAGGACACAGCAGTGTGGCTGGACAACGGGTTTTAGCAAGAATCTTATGCAGCCCATTTTTGCTAACATAATCAAAAGTCTCAACAGCATTCTAACCGCGTATAGTTGTTGCGTCCTTTGAGGTATTTCTTTATGTATTTTAATTATTTTAAATATGTTTGTTAAAGAATTTTTTTTTTGACATCCAGTACTTCTTATTATAATCACTCAACAATACACTCAACAATACACTCAACAATACACTCAACAATACACTCAACAATACACTCAACAATACACTCAACAATACACTCAACAATACACTCAACTATACACTTAACAATACACTCAACTATACACTTAACAATACACTCAACAATACACTCAACAATAAGCTCAACAATACACTCAACAATACACTCAACAATACACTCAACAATACACTCAACAATACACTCAACAATACACTCAACAATACACTCAACAATACACTCAACAATACACTCAACAATACACTCAACAATACACTCAACAATACACTGAACAATACACTCAACTATACACTTAACAATACACTCAACAATACACTTAACAATACACTCAACAATACACTCAACAATACACTCAACAATACACTGAACAATACACTCAACAAAACACTCAACAATACACTTAACTATACACTTAACAATACACTCAACAATACACTCAACAATACACTGAACAATACACTCAACTATACACTTAACAATACACTCAACTATACGCTTAACAATACACTCAACAATAATCTCAACAATACACTCAACAATACACTCAACAATACACTCAACAATACACTCAACAATACACTCAACAATACACTCAACAATACACTCAACAATACACTGAACAATACACTCAACTATACACTTAACAATACACTCAACAATACACTTAACAATACACTCAACAATACACTCAACAATACACTCAACAATACACTCAACAATACACTCAACAATACACTCAACAATACACTGAACAATACACTCAACAATACACTCAACAATACACTCAACTATACACTTAACAATACACTCAACAATACACTCAACAATACACTCAACAATACACTTAACAATACAATCAACTATACACTTAACAATACACTCAACAATACACTCAACAATACACTTAACAATACACTCAACAAAACACTCAACAATACACTTAACTATACACTTAACAATAAGCTCAACAATACACTCAACAATACACTCTACAATACACTCAACAATACACTCAACAATAAGCTCAACAATACACTCAACAATACACTCAACAATACACTCAACAATACACTCAACAATACACTCAACAATACACTCAACAATACACTCAACAATACACTCAACTATACACTTAACAATACACTCAACAATACACTTAACAATACACTCAACAATACACTCAACAATACACTCAACAATACACTGAACAATACACTCAACAAAACACTCAACAATACACTTAACTATACACTTAACAATACACTCAACAATACACTCAACAATACACTGAACAATACACTCAACAATACACTGAACAATACACTCAACTATACACTTAACAATACACTCAACTATACACTCAACAATACACTCAACAATACACTCAACAATACACTCAACAATACACTCAATAATACACTCAACAATACACTCTACAATACACTCAACAATACACTCAACAATACACTCAACAATACACTCAACAATACACTCAACAATACACTCAACAATACACTCAACAATACACTCAACAATACACTCTACAATACACTCAACAATACACTCAACAATACACTCAACAATACACTGAACAATAAACTCAACTATACACTTAACAATACACTCAACAATACACTTAACAATACACTCAACAATACACTCAACAATACACTCAACAATACACTCTACAATACACTCAACTATACACTTAACAATAAGCTCAACAATACACTCAACAATACACTCAACAATACACTCAACAATACACTCAACAATACCCTCAACAATACACTCTACAATACACTTAACAATACACTCAACAATACACTCAACAATACACTCTACAATACACTTAACAATACACTCAACAATACACTCAACAATACACTCAACAATACACTCTACAATACACTCTACAATACACTCTACAATACACTCAACAATACACTCAACAATACACTCAACAATACACTCAACAATACACTCTACAATACACTTAACAATACACTCAACAATACACTTAACAATACACTCAACAATACACTCAACAATACACTCAACTATACACTTAACAATAAGCTCAACAATACACTCAACAATACACTCTACAATACACTCAACTATACACTTAACAATAAGCTCAACAATACACTCAACAATACACTCAACAATACACTCAACAATACACTCAACAATACCCTCAACAATACACTCTACAATACACTTAACAATACACTCAACAATACACTCTACAATACACTCAACTATACACTCAACAATACACTCAACAATACACTCTACAATACACTTAACAATACACTCAACAATACACTCAACAATACACTCAACAATACACTCTACAATACACTCTACAATACACTCTACAATACACTTAACAATACACTCAACAATACACTCAACAATGCACTCAACAATACACTCAACTATACACTCAACAATACACTCAACTATACACTCAACTATACACTCAACAATACACTCAACAATACACTCAACAATACACTTAACAATACACTCAACAATACACTCAACAATACACTCAACAATACACTCTACAATACACTCTACAATACACTCTACAATACACTTAACAATACACTCAACAATACACTCAACAATGCACTCAACAATACACTCAACAATACACTCAACAATACCCTCAACAATACACTCTACAATACACTCAACAATACACTTAACAATACACTCAACAATACACTCAACAATACACTCAACAATACACTCAACAATACACTCAACAATACACTCAACAATACACTCAACAATACACTCAACAATACACTCAACAATACACTCAACAATACACTCTACAATACACTCAACTATACACTCAACAATACACTCAACAATACACTCTACAATACACTTAACAATACACTCAACAATACACTCAACAATACACTCAACAATACACTCAACAATAAGCTCAACAATACACTCAACAATACACTCAACAATACACTCAACAATACACTCAACAATACACTCAACAATACACTCAACAATACACTCAACAATACACTCAACAATACACTCAACTATACACTTAACAATAAGCTCAACAATACACTCAACAATACACTCAACAATACACTCAACAATACACTCAACAATACACTCAACTATACACTTAACAATAAGCTCAACAATACACTCAACAATACACTCAACAATACACTCAACAATACACTCAACAATACACTCAACAATACATTCAACAATACACTCAACAATACACTCAACAATACACTCAACAATACACTCAACAATACACTCAACAATACACTCAACAATACACTCAACAATACACTCAACAATAAGCTCAACAATACACTCAACAATACACTGAACAATACACTCAACAATACACTCAACAATACACTCAAGAATACACTCAACAATACACTCAACAATACACTCAACAATACACTCAACAATACACTCAACAATACACTCAACAATACACTCAACAATACACTTAACAATACACTCAACAATACACTCAACAATACACTTAACAATAAGCTCAACAATAAGCTCAACAATACACTCAACAATACACTTAACAATACACTCAACAATACACTCAACAATACACTCAACAATACACTCAACAATACACTCAACAATACACTCAACTATACACTTAACAATAGGCTCAACAATACACTCAAGAATACACTCAACAATACACTCAACAATACACTTAACAATAAGCTCAACAATACACTCAACAATACACTCAACAATACTCTCAACAATACACTCAACTATACACTTTACAATACACTCAACAAAACACTCAACAATACACTCAACAATACACTAAACAATAAGCTCAACTATACACTCAACAATACACTCAACAATACACTCAACAATACACTTAACAATACACTCAACTATACACTCAACAATACACTCAACTATACACTCAACAATACATTCAACAATACTCTCAACAATACACTCAACTATACACTTAACAATACACTCAACAATACACTCAACAATACACTCAACAATACACTCAACAATACACTCAACAATACACTCAACAATACACTCAACAATACACTCAACAATACACTCAACATTACACTCAACAATACACTCAACAATACACTCAACAATACACTCAACAATACACTCAACAATACACTCAACAATACACTCAACAATACACTCTACAATACACTCAACTATACACTTAACAATAAGCTCAACAATACACTTAACAATACACTCAACAATACACTCAACAATACACTCAACAATACACTCAACAAAACACTCAACAATACACTCAACAATACACTAAACACTAAGCTCAACTATACACTCAACAATACACTCAACAATACACTCAACAATACACTTAACAATACACTCAACTATACACTCAACAAAACACTCAACAATACACTCAACAATACACTCAACTATACACTCAACAATTCACTCAACAATACACTCAACAAAACACTCAATAATACACTCAACAATACGCTCAACAATACACTCAACAATACACTCAACAATACACTCAACAATACACTCAACAATACACTCAACAATACACTTAACAACAAGCTGAACAATACACTCAACAATACACTCAACAATACACTCAACAATACACTTAACAATAAGCTCATCAATACACTCAACAATACACTCAACAATACACTCAACAATACACTCAACAATACACTCAACAATACACTCAACAATAAGCTCAACAAGTAGATCAAAAATACCTTAAGTAAATAAAGGACCCCTTTACCACGCCTTCAGGCGTATTTACATTTTGTTAGACCTATATTTTATAGACCAGTAGGCGATGTCAACATCACACCGGTCGCCTTCACCTCACTGGCTATACCTGGTTCCCTACAAGGCTTGATCGAAGCTAAGGTCTTTGTTAAAAAAACCACGAAACCACGACCTTTCGACCTGCAGGCGACCGTCTAGCCGCTACACCGCGGCGGCTTTCTTGTTATTGATGTGTCAATGAATACACGCAAGAGTGCATGTTATCAAAGATAAACTATATACAGAATCATCTGGAGCAGATCTATCAAACTGAGGGTTGGCTCCAAATATAGATTTGACCTGAGCCTAAGCTATACAACGTTCTGAGGCTCCCGTAGTTTTAAACGTAAACAGCTAATCTAAAAAAAGTAACTAACAATGATCCCTTGAAAGAAGATAATGAAAGTAGATCTC